CCTGCACCACAACCTGTGCGCCCGCGCCACATTGGGCACGTGGGCGTGCCACTAGCCGGGTGGCCACGCCATTGAAGCGCACAACTGCACCCTCTGTGTGCTGATGACGAACTTTGAGCCATTTTTATCCCTTGATCAATATGGATGGCCAATTTTGGACCCTTGGATAAATAGATTTTATTAGATCTTGTGTTCTAGCTTTAATAGTTAAATTAATTTACTTTTCTAGATTCAATTACTTAATTCACTCAATTTTAGTGGCTTAGATAAAATTTATTCATGAACACTCACAATACTTAGTTTAATTCTCAAAAATTCAATCATTACTTTTTAAGATGACAAAAACTACAGATAAATATTTGCAAAAGTGTTGACAAGTTCTAGTTGCTTTTTTCTATTTTTATTCACCTAAACCAAGTACACTTTAGAATATCCTATAAAATGGCAAACGAATTAAAACTGAGTACCTTAAGACTTTGCCCTCCAAGAAGAATGAAGGCTATAACGGCACCATAGCATAAACCAAATTGAATTCGACCAACAAAATAGCTTCCCTATCCTGGTCCTATACGTGCATACAAATGATCATCTTTATGCATACTTGAAACCACTAGAAATAATCTTGCCCATTTTAACAATTTCACACATTTTAATACGTGACATGAATATATAAGCCCCGTTCATTTTACCGATTCGAATTTTGAATTTGAGTTTTGCTACAATAAAAAGCTTTCAGAAGCAGTTACATCTAACTTTTTTACTGCAGTAAAAAGCTCTCACATAAAGTCACATTTCAACTCAAATTAAAAAAAAATCGAATCAGTAAACTAAACATGACAGAACAGATGTGGAAGCACCTAAGATATCAGTGGCCATTTCGCGGAAGCGGAGCTGACGCCATCCGAGCTGAGCATGATGCTCCAAAACCAAGGACAACATATTGTAGGAGTAGAAAGTTACCAAAGCTGATATTACAAGACACGAGATCCCAGCAAACCAACCCAGCAACGACAAAGCGAAGGGAAGACTAAGCAGCGCTGGGGCTACAATTGTAGTTGTCAAGTGGTATCCACAGTGCAACCATGATCCTATATTACATCATCAACAAGAAAACACTTCAATTACAACAGCTTATGAACTTAAATATTTATATATTAATATTCTTGTTTACACTAATTAGTAATTATATGTACCTCTAGATTTGAGCACAAAAAGAGCTCCAGCATCAAGTTTCTTCTGAATGTTAGCTTCATTAGTATGATTTTCCTTTTCCGTGGTTGTAATTTCCATCACTAAATTGGGATTGATTGATCCGTTCTCTTTATGTGTTTGAAGAATGTAAAATGGCTACAAGATAATCTTATGGGTTGGTTTCTTTAGTTTTGTTGAACTGATAATGTGGTTAGTTTTGTTAATTTTTCGGCGGTGAAAATTCAACTGGCCGGAAAGTCAACTAACTTGGCCTGAAGTTAAATGAAAACCTTACATGATTTTTTCCCCCCCTTTAGTGGAAGAACAATTCTACGTGAGACAAGAATATTGAAGTTGTAGTTTGTCTTATTGGATGACTTAGGATGCCACATGAGATTAAAAAGAACTTAGGGGAGTGGTTTAGGATCAGAAAAGGACACGAATTAAATGAACAAAAAAGACTTAGGAATGGGAGAAAAATACTCTTGTATAAATCAAAATTTTTATCATTTACTTTTAATTAATAATTTTTTTAGTCAAATAACTGTACTAATAATAGGGTATTAATCAATAATAAATGGTAAAAATTTATACACATACACTCTTAAATGTAAATTATGTGATTTTCTCAAAAGACTCTTGTTGTTTAATTTCCTAATATGAGTTTTGGCAAAACTTGAGTTAAATGAGTAATGTTATTGGGCACCGATGGTGCTTAGCGCCATCTATTAATAGAAGGTGTTGCGAGACCCACAAATGAGATTCATTTTCTTGGCGGTCTCTTTTAAGTATTTTTCACGTTGAATTTGTACTTGTAATCATTCTTGAATATTCCATTAAATTTACAACCGAGTGAGCCGAACAAATATTGGTCATGAGAAAAAAAAATAGAAAAAAAGAAAAACATATATTTCGTTTATATTCCATGTGAAAACGACATATCGTTTTTTTTTTTTTTTTTAAAAACATCGTAAAATGCTCTATGAAAATTATAGTTTTGATAAAAACGACAATCTTTTCGGTAGAAGGAAATAAGTCACTTGGAAACGACATTTTGATTTGTATAAATCAAAATTTTTATCATTTACTTTTAATTAATAATTTTTTTAGTCAAATAACTGTACTAATAATAGGGTATTAATCAATAATAAATGGTAAAAATTTATACACATACACTCTTAAATGTAAATTATGTGATTTTCTCAAAAGACTCTTGTTGTTTAATTTCCTAATATGAGTTTTGGCAAAACTTGAGTTAAATGAGTAATGTTATTGGGCACCGATGGTGCTTAGCGCCATCTATTAATAGAAGGTGTTGCGAGACCCACAAATGAGATTCATTTTCTTGGCGGTCTCTTTTAAGTATTTTTCACGTTGAATTTGTACTTGTAATCATTCTTGAATATTCCATTAAATTTACAACCGAGTGAGCCGAACAAATATTGGTCATGAGAAAAAAAAATAGAAAAAAAGAAAAACATATATTTCGTTTATATTCCATGTGAAAACGACATATCTTTTTTTTTTTTTTTTTAAGAATCATCGTAACATGCTCTATGAAATTCATAGTTTAGATAAAACGACAATCTTTTTCGGTAGAAGGAAATAAGTCACTTGGAAACGACATTTTGATTCTTCGTCAAACCAAAACAATATGTCCTTTTCTTTCAAGAAAAAAAAAGAAATATATATATATATATGTATTTTTTTTCTGAACAGCAGAAACAATATGTCGTTTATTTATATCCCACCAACGATGTATTTCACCAATTCACTCTCCCAAAAACGGCATGTAGTTTAGATTTAGATGTTGCCATTGGACAAAAAAGTAATTTCAGCCCGAGGCCAATTTCCCATTCACATTCAAGGGAAAATTAGTGAATTCACCGTTTTATAACATTTTTACTCTTTAGTCTTAATTAATAAAATTTTAACTAATATAGTTCTTTACCTATGGTATTAATCAAATTTAACCAGTAAAAATTTAAAACTCATACATTTTAAGAGTTTTTCCTTATAGAAATGATGTACAAGACCGGACAAAAAAGTAATTTTAGCCCCAGAAAATTAGTAAATTCATCATTCAAATGCATTGTTATAAAATTTTTACTTTTTATTCTTAATTAATAAAATTTGAACTAATATAATTCTTTCACCACGGTATTAATCAAATTTAACCCATAAAAATGTAACAGTCATGCATTTTAGGTTTTTCCATATGTAAATGACGTACAAACCCTTATCAATCATCCCAAATAACGGAGTTGCACTTCGGCTTAAACCCTCCGTTCCAAATTTCCAACCTCACTTCAAGACCTCTCTCTTTCTTTCTCTAGATTCTTTTTGCTTTCTCTCTCCTTCTTTCTGCGTTTCCATGGCGAAAGGAGACGACATAGTGACGAGGAAGAAGAGCAAAGCCAATCGGAAGAAGCTCAACAGTCAGACCCAGAGTTCCTCCTCGGTTTCCGCGCGCGTCGCCGCCCTTATCGCCGCCAAGAAGCGCCGCAAGTCCGGCACGCGCCGCAAATGCCAGGTGATTCCACGAAGGGCAACGTCGTTTTCGCTTCATTTGATTTTTTTTTTGCGGTTTTAGTTATGGAAAACAGTTTAATCTTGCTGTGGTTTAAGTGGATTTTTGCTTGTGGAAAAGGAAAGTGGCGCTTTTGTTTTGAATGAGTTTTTTTGCGATGAATCTATATGATTTGTGAGAGCGTAGATTAACATTGCTAGAGAAGTAATTCGATTGTGCTTTCTTATTGAATGATTTATCTGATGAGTTGTGCACAATATTTTTACTTGATACGAGTGGATATCAAAATGACACTGATGTTGATAATGTAGGCATGGTAATGGTTGGTCATGTATTTATGTGTGTATTTTTCTATTTCAACAACAACACTTAATCCCAAATAATTGGAATCGACTATATGAATTTCTCCTTTTCAGTCTGTTCTATTAAACACGAGACCCTTATGAAGCTATAGATCTTGAAAGTCGTGTCTAATTATGTCGGCCTAAATAATTCTTGATCTACCCCTCGCTCTCATAGTACTAGGTATTTGGATGTTCTCTCAAGCACGAACAGGTACATCTAACGATCTACGTTGTACATGCCTGTACCACCTCAGACGGTTTTCTCTCACCTTATCTTCTATTGGTGCTACACCTATTTTACTTCGAATAATTTATTCCGTATGCGATCTATTCTCGTATGGCCACTCATCCATCTTAACGTACGCATCTTCGCCACACTCATCTTGTATATTTATTGTCTTTTGATGGCCCAACATTCACTACCATATAACATAGCTGAGTGAATTGTTGTCCTATAGAATTTTTCTTCCAACTTAATAGGTATCTTATCATCACATAAAACTCCCATGACATTCTTCCACTTAACCCATCATGCCTTAATCCTATGTCCAATATTCTCATCTATATCTCCTTCACATTGCACTATGGATCCAAGGTACCTAAATTTCCTAAAAGTCCCAATCACCACACCATCCAAAAAAATTCCATCACTCTAGTCTCTCAAATTACTAAACCTACAATGCATGTACTCAGTCTTCGTTCTGCTTAACTTAAATCCTTTTGTCTCAAGGGTCTGTTTCCATAGTACTAACTTACGGTTAATGCCCTCTCAATGTTCATCAACTAAAACTATATCGTCTGCAAAAAGCATACACCAGGGAATCCCATCTTGAATTTCTCTTGTCAGCTCGTCCATCACGACAGTGAAAAGATAAGGACTAAGAGCGGAACCTTAATGAAGGCCAATCCGAATGGGGAACTCTTCCGTGTAGCCTCCAGTAGTTCTCACACTTGCGACAGCTCCATCATACATATCCTTTATTACCTTGATATATCTCATATGCACTCCTCTTTTCTCTAGTACCTACCATAACACTTCTCTCGGTACCCTATCATATGCCTTTTCTAAATCTATGAAGACCATATGCAAATCTTTCTTAGCTATTCTATACCTTTCAATCAGCATTCTAAGAAGAAAAATAACCTCCATGATTGATCTACCGGGCATGAACCCAAATTGGTTACCTAAGATGGTAGTTGTGGCCCTTAATCTCTTTTCAATAACTCTCTCTTAAAGCTTCATAGTGTGACTTATGAGCTTTATGTCCCTATAGTTGTTACAATTTAGGGCATCTTCTTTATTCTTCTTCATTGGAGATTCGCATATACCACATATAATCTATATATATAGCTTTGGTTATATTTATATTTACATGCTGTGAATATGAATTCAGTTTTTGTAGCAAATGAGTCAATTAGATTCTTGCTAAATGACCCCATTGCATTAGGCTTGAGGCAATTGGTAAACTTTTATTTTCTGTTATTATTATTATTATTATTATTTTTTTTTTTTTTTGGTAAATGTCGTTTGGTCGTAAGTTGAATTCTTTTATTAAGTTGTGTGATGCGCATAGTAACCAGTGATTGCTCATTTTGCTCGTTATTCTTTTTTCTTTTTTTTTTTTCTTTTCTAGTAGTATGTTTAAATAATTTCTAAAGGAAGTGTCGGATTTCCAAATTAAAGTTGTTTATATCTTTTCTCATGACATTACAGGGGATGTGTTTTAGCGTTCCTACCCCTGACGATCCCTTCAATGACAGGCATGGTAAAAAAGATCTGGAAACAAAGGTAACCAGAAAAGTTAGGCCTTACAAAAAGGATGAGAAGGCGTTTTCAAAGGAGAAGAAAGTACCTCCATGCAAACCAACTCTTGGTAAAATTGATGCGAGTGTGAATGACATTGATGACAAAGCTAAGGTTGCAAGTTTGAAGAATGAAAAGATATCGTTGAAGTCTATCAATGATGTGGTGCTAAGAACAAAGACTCAGTTCAATGGGAATGAAGGTGTGCGTGATCACCAAGAACAGGACTTTGAAAATTCAGAATGTCCATCTAAGTATCTTATTATGTGCTTGAATGAAATAGAGAATGCACTGCGTCATGATGACACCCACACTGCCGAGGAGGACAAACCTTTGTTTGTTAGTACTTGGGGGATTGAGTTTTGGAAATGTTATTCAGCTGGAAAGGATATATTAGAGACAAGCGTGTCTTCTACTGTAGAGCAAATTTCATGGATTGTTTGCAGTGCTGCTGACACTATTTCAAGAAAGGAGGAAGAAGGTCTATCATATTCCAGCCCATTTCTTTTGTTTCTTGTGCCATCCCAAGAGAAAGCTGTGAAGGTTTGTGCTATATATTGCGTCTTTTGAGGCATTTTGGAACTCTTCAGTTCTGTGAATCTTTTCTTGAAAATGAAAGTTTTAGTCTTTAGACATTTACTCGTTTAATTTTGAAGCTTGCATAGGAACTTTCAAACATGCAAGTTGACTTAATACAAACATGTTAAGAGTGAGGTAACAACTAACAAGGGATTAGTTTGTGCCCAACAATCATTTTTGTGCCTCTTATTCAACCATTCGACAACAACAAGCAATAGTATTCTTGTGTTTGTACATCAAATGCAGAGGATATGTTAATTTCTATTTTTTCCCCTCTTCTATTGTCATATCAGGTACGTTCAGTGTGCAAACCTTTGAAAGTTCATGGAATACATACAGTGAGTATACATCCAGGTGCTTCCATAGACCACCAGATTCAAGGGTATGTAAATGTCAGACTATACAATTTAAATGTTATTTTACTTAAAAAAGAAAAAGAAAGAAAAGAAATGAAAAAAAAGAAAAGAGATTGACAAGTTGCCGGTCTATCCTACTATTTTTGTTTAGGGAAAATTTTATTTTGGCACCCTGTGTTATATCAAAATATGAGTTTGGTACCTTCTGTTTTTAACATGCTGGTACCTTAACCTTTTAGAAAATCTTCTTTTGGTACTTTGGGGCAGTTTTTTGGGACACCAAAAGATAAAATTACCCTTATTATTAACTATATAAAAAGCTTTTTAAAAAATCTTAAACCTACAACTAAGATTTTTGCTTTATGTTTGGGACAGAGTGAAGTTTGGGTGTCCGGTTGCAGCTTTAAGATTTTTTAAAAAGTTTTTATACATATTATATAATGAGGGCAATTTTGTCATTTCATATTCAAAAAAAGTATCCCAAGGTACTAAAAGAAGATTTTCTAAAAAGTCAAGGTACCGGCATGAAATTATTAAAAGTAGAGGGTACCAAACTCATATTTTGATATAGGGTACTAAAAGGAAAATTTTCCTTTTGTTTAAATATGCATTTATCATGACGCCTCTCCATAGGTTATTTGGTTAGAACATTACGGTTGTTGCTGAGGGCATTCGTGCATGAATTCATGTAGCTATCTTCCTTTTGTGTTGTAATGTTATTTGCCAAGTTCTTAGCTCTCATGCACTTGTTATGTTTATTCTCTAGTATAACTCAACCATATCTCTGTCTTGTTTCATTTCTCACTAAAAACTTCTTTTCATCAATAGGTTGAAGAATTGCGAGCCTGAGTTTCTCATATCAACACCTGAGAGACTTTTGGAGCTTATTTCTCTGAAGGCCATTGATATATCTGGGGTCTCTTTATTGGTAATGTGTTAATCTGTTTATTTACTCTGCAATAATACTCCTTTTTCTCCGATTCAACTTTGTTATGAATTATTATGGATAGTGTAAAGCAAGGTTTAAACCACATTTTAGTTTTGTAGGTTATCATTACGTCTTTGCCTGGAACTCTTATTTTTATTCAAGTTATGAAATTAAATATATTTGAGAATTTAATGAATAAAAGTATAATGATACACTGATTTTGGTTTTCTTTTCTGGATCTCTTTGATACTGAAAATTTGTTTTTAATTAACGGTTTGATGTCTTCTTCAGTTCTATTTTTCATATATCGCAAGACTGTGTATCAAGTCAGCCGGGCTGTATATTTGGAAATTTATTATTTCCGTTGTATACTTTTCGATGGCTGGTGACAATTTCTTGTTCTTCATCTTTGCCTGTGGTTGCCCTGTGTTGTTTTAACTATTTTATGTACTTTTTTGTTCTTCATTTCTTGTCAACACTTCGATATGCATTTACATTAAGGTAGTGCAATAAGTATAGCCGCCGCCAGCTACACCTAGCGTGTGAAATAGAAGCTCGAGAAGGAATACCAAAACCTAGTTCATAGAACTATACAATATTATTTTTCAAAAGGATGGAATGAGTGAATGCACTTTCTTACTGTTAATTGAATAATAACATATTGACTTTCACGTATATATTTCAAGTTTGCCTTCTAAATATTGGATGGGCATATTCACAATTAATGAATTTTTAACGAGTAGTATAAACTGAAATCATCATTTTTCAGAAAATGGGAGGCTATGATACATGCATAAGTTACTATACAAAACTTAAGTCTTTCCACAAAGTCTGATTTCTTTGATTGCTATTAGAGATAGGTTTAAATATTTGATTGGGGAACATTTTTGCGGACTTCCAATTTTGTTATATTTTTATTATGTAACTGCATGGACATTATATGAGTAACTATCTCTTTCTAATCATTGCTGATGTTCAATGCGGTGATTGATTTTACTGGTGTAATGAACATATGTTTGCACCACATGAGCTGTGAATTCATTATTCATTTTACAAATCTCCCAGGTCCTAATAATGAGGGGACATGATACTATGAGATGTCTCCTATATTAATTCATTTCTCATGTAAATAGGTTGTTGATGGATTGGATGCTGATCGCAAACAAGGTTATGTTGATAGCATAAAAGCCATTACGCAGTCTCTATCGGAAAACACTCGTCGCTTGGTCTTCAATGATTGCTTTAGTCCTTCATGTGTCCCTGTGTTGCAAGATCTTCTACTGGGACGAGCCTATAAATTATCATCTATGAATGATTCTCTTACCGGTAAAAAGATCTATTCGGCAGAACGGAAACTAGCAGAGGTACCGAAATTAACCCTCTGACTGGAATGGTAAACTCTTATGAAAAACCAAGACACTTTTGGTCCGCCTCATCTTTTGCATATTTGGTAACACTTGGACTCTTTGAAGTTTTTCCCTGAAGTCTTGAACTATCACTAGGGATGATACTCACTATTATGCGTTTGAGGCTATCCTAGCTTTTATGATTATGCGTTTGTTTGTTTCCTTGAAGACAGTAAAAGAATTCTTTTTTTTTTTCTGAATTAAATGAATTGACAAATAATTGTTTTTGTCCTTGTTTATCAATCCTGGGTGTGTAGTTTTCGGTTTATGCAAGGTTTTAGGTGTTTAGTGTCGTACATGTTTTGGAAAAAAAGAAAAGATATTAGAATGACTAATTCTGTCTTCTGTTTTTCTGTAGAAGTCTACTGCTTCTTCTTGCATGTTTATAGCCTTTTGTGCAAAGGACTAATATTTAATCCTCGTCACTTTTCCAGTGTTGAATTTAACAACAGAATGAAGCATCCAGTCTCTATAAGCAATAATTGAAGTTCATTCAACTGATTTAGCGGAGTATGAACTTGCGCTCGATTTTTTCCCCCTCTGGCAATAGACAATTTGCCTTGGAAACCTCACGAAGATGACGAGTGAACCTGCCAATAGAGCATTTCATCATATTATAATCGATGAAAAGATTCGGTAGTTGCTGACCGTTGATTGAAAGAGCGCTGAAAACATGCCTCAATTCAAATTCACTTTTTTTTTTTTTCCTTTTCTTTTTTCATACTGCTTGTTTAGCGTTGCAAAGGATGCATAATTGTGCATGGTCGGAATTTGATGCGTGTTAAAGCTCGTTGAGTCCTGTATCCAGTGAAGTTTTATAGATTATATAATTGATTATTGTATGAAAAAATTAATGCAAGAAATTTTGGTAGAAAGAATAGTTGGGAGCTGTAAGTCGCTAGAAAGGGTTTGCTTAGAAATTGTCTTGTGCATTCTTTAGCGGTTAATTATGAAATTGCACGTGCAAGCAGTGCCATAATTTACTCTAATATGTTTAGGTAGTTGGGATTTCTTGATGCACCAATTTTGAGTAAGCTTGATATTTTCACGTAATCTATGAATTTCGTCCTCAGATGAGCTGTTTGAACGAGCTGTCCGAACGCGGAGTACAAAAGACGGGTCCGTCTGATCACTTTCCCGTACACCCGCGGGTCGATTGATGCCATTTTTCTCTTTGTTTTACGTTCAGCCTTAGAATAACAGAAGTTTGGCCATTTGTTATGGTAGCAGTAAGAAGCACCATTGGACTTTTCATTTAGGTATGCATTGATAACTCATGTTTTGTCACGGCCATTACTCATGTAATCTCGTAGTTCTTGAAGCGCGCGCATGTTAGATACACGTCTCCTTTACACACTAGTATAGTAGTATTCCCCCGTTACTTTGGTTTGAATCGAAAATTGTTCATTTGGCTGCCAGATTTTCCTTCATATTCATTTGTTAAAATAGTGAAAATTACACAATGGCGATGAAAAACAAATTGGCAAAATGCTTCAGTTATTGATATGGAACCCGTTTGGTATTACTTTTAGAGGCTGCTTTTAACTTTTTTAAAGAAGTTATAGTAGGTTCAGGTATTTGGTAAATTATTCTTTTGACCGGTAGCTTCTAAAAACTGCTGCCAAACAACATAATTTGAGAAGTAGATCATTGTTGTTTTAGCGCAGCTGTTTCTGTTGTTATTGTCCAAATTTATTAAAAGAACCTTAGTAATAAAACCTAATTTTCTATTTACTCATTTTATTTTTTCATACCAAATTGAAAAATATATATTTTATCAATATTTATTAAAAAATTAAAATATTTTATGAAATACTAATTAAATTCGACTTAAATATATTTTTTATAATTATCAAAATGTTTAAAATAACAAAAATAGATAATAATTTATCAACTTATTTTTTATATTAATTTTAAATAATAAATTAAAATAATATTTATTTTTTTTAATATTTTGGTATAAAAATACTATAAATATTGACCTTAAAAATAGAAATGAAACTTTTTTTTATAGGAAAAAAAATAGAAACAAGACCAACTATAAATATGTGTGCAATTATAGCTGTTTTAGTCATTATACATCTTCACAATAATTTTATACATAGTTTACCAAACACTTAAATTTTTGCTTTTGGTATTCACGGCAGTTTTGAAAAAAAAATTACGAAACACCTACATACTTCTGGTTACAGTAACTTCTAACAAAAAACACAACATCAACAAAAATTTTTAACAGCATAACAATGCCAAACTGGCCCATAAATAAGTAACAGTCACCTAGAATTTCCAAAGGGATATTTACCCTTTTATGCCCTATGTTTTGGGTACCTTTAGTTTTTTTATCTCATTAAATGTATACCTTCAAATTAAATTTAATATCAAAATTAATTTATACCCTTTCACAATCAACCATCATTTTTAACTTTAAAAATAGGGGTGTGCAACAAACCATTCAAACCATTTAAACCAACTAAACCAAACCAAACCAAACCAATTAATAATCGGTTTGGTTTGGTTTAAATTTTTAAAAAACCAATTAAATTTGTGGTTTTAACCCTAAAAAATCAAACCAAACCAAATGAATTTTTATCTATATAATTTTTCTAAAATTTTATATATTACATATATCAATAACTTATTGATATTTAAAAAACTTTATTCCAAAATTACGGGATCATAATCCTAAAAGTTTCTATCATAACCGATCTATAGGAAACTAACACTGTCTCATCAGTCTACACATAAGCTCATCCACTCCTCTTCTCTCATTCTCCAATCCTCTAGATTATGATCGTGATTCTCTCTAAAGCCTTGCACCTTTGTTAACGTGATGTAGCCTCTGTAATAATACGTGTCTCTAATTTGCCTATATTCGTTTTCTTTCATATATTTAGAAAAGCTGTATATCATAATAAATCATGAGTCACAACTAATATTATATAAATATATCTATAATTTAATTGCTTTGATTTCATTTTGTCTTTAAAAGAAAAATAAACTAAAATATTAGTACCAGTTATGGTTGAGACTTGAAAAGATGTAAAATATTCGTTCAAACCAATTAGAAAACCAAACCAAATCAATTACAATCGGTTTGGTTTGGATTGAATTAGATCCCTTAATTGGTTTGGTGTGATTTGAAAATCTCTAAACCAATTTCTAATTAGTTTGGTTTGCATTTCATATAAAATAAACTGTTTGATTGGTTTGCACACACCTATTTAAAAATACCTAAAATATCGTTGAATAAAAAAATGAAACAAACTAAAAGAAACTTTAAACTTACAGTTTTGATCTAAAAAATACCCAAAATACCATTGAAATTGGTGTTTTTTGTGTTTCTAATTTTTATTTTTTTTAATATTGAAAAGTTTTAATTTTCTTTTTTCTCTTTTTCTTAAGGATAGTTTGGTCATTTTAAAAGTTAAAATTAATTATTGACGAGATAAGATATAAATTTATATATTAAATATAATTTGAAGGTATACATTTGATGAGATAAAAAACTGAAGGTACAGATTTTGAATAAACCTAAAACATAAGGTAGAAAAATATAAATATCCCATTTCCAAATTCTCTTTCCCAGACGTAGTGCAAGATCATATAAACTCTTTTTTTTTTTTTTTTTTTTTTTTTGAGCTTGACATTTCCACATGATATATTGCTGTAGGATTGATTTGAGCCATGACTTTTTCTAAGGCGACTCGAACCGATTTTATTAAAGAGAATGAGCGGCCTAACTATCCTGTGATTTTCCGTCACATTTTATAAGGGTGTCAACGTTTTATTAATATAATCTAAAGTAAAGAGGCCTGAAAACCGTAATAGGCTGCTACTCTAAGCTCGCTTTGTTTTCTCAAGCTCTGTGCCTTTTATCTCGGTGAACAATGTTCTACTGATTAGGCGGGGACAAGATTCGAACTTATAGTCTTCAGGCATGAGCCCCCAATGATCAATGATAAATTCTCAGTTTGAACTTTCAGTGGCAATGTAGATGGGCGTCATTCTTCAAACCTCATAAAAGCAAGTTGAATCTTAAATCGTGAGAGGGAAATGCCTTAAATAATAATAGTGACCACTGAATAAATTTGTCCCGACAGATTCTAAATGTTGCTATGCTTGTTCAAATAATAACCCGTCACATTCGACATCATTTAAAATCAAACTTTTTTCCCCTAACGCGGGAAACATTTATAAAACCTTAATTATGTAATTAAGACTAAGAAGAAAAACAAGAATAAAGGACAATTTGTTTAGACAGAAATTTCAAATAAAGAGGGAACATGTGCGTGCAATTTTGATAAAATTTGTTCCTTCTTCTCAGTGGTTACAAACAGTCGTGTGGGGACTTTGGGAGACCTCTCACCCTCTCCTGTCCATTCTAGGATTTTAAGGGCGCGTTTGAAATTTGTTTTAAAATAATTTTATTTTTTGTATGAAAATGAAAATAAAAACGTTTTCAATCTCAGATAAAAATTAATTTTAAAAATGTGTTTGGTAGTTTTATCTAAAAATTATTTTCAGTATAAAAAAATCCATTAATATATATATATATATATTTTTGTGCTCGAGAAAGGAGAAAATGAAAATAAAAAATGACAAACGACTAAAAATCATTTTTCATTTCTCTCATTTTAAACTAAACTAAAAAATCATTTTCATTTCCGTTTTTTGTCTTTATTGCGTCAAACGTCGTTTTAGAAACGTTTTCATTTTTTTTCTTGAAAAACGTGAAAAACAAAAACGGGATCAATTCCAAACACGGTATAAACTTTTTTCATCTAACAAATTGATTTGCTCATTGGGAATTTTTGCGGTGAAAAATATTATTTTACTATATTAGTAGGAGTTATTTTTTTTAAATCGTTCGATTTATTTTTTAACAATTAAATTTGTACATGTCTACATTAAAAATTTACAGTGCGCGATACAGAACTACTCCTATTGCAAATTAGACTGTTGAAAAACTAATACAATGGTTAAAACAAAATTTCTACCATAAATGCACCTTATTGGTTTTAATATTGTTGGTCCAGCCACAGTTAGATTGGAAAAGAACAACAACAACAACAACAAAAAGAATAACAATAATGTAATTACATAATTTTTTTTTTCAATTAGGAAGCCAGTTGATATGATTAGTAGTATAGAATCTGTTTTTAATGAAACTGAATATTTCAAATACATGATTTAAGATTTGGAAATTCAATAGAAACACTCCCAAAAAATTGTTGGTTTAGTTTATAAGGTTGTCGTTGTTGCTTCTTCTTAGTTGCAACTTACAAGAGTTTCTTTTGTCGGCAGGACCTCTTTTTATAGTGGGACGTTGCGTTTTTCTCACACAAGTTGTTTTTCTTTCTTTTTTTCTTCCTTTTCTCGTTCATGCTGGCGAAAAGCAAAATTCTCATTTCTTGTTTTTCTTGTTTTGCTACCGAATTTTTTTAGTACTGTAGTTTTTTTATATTTTTATTTAAAGCTTAGGACCAGACCATATATAACAAAGAAATTATATTTAATAAGCAGTGGCATAAACCCCGTAAAAATGGAAATATTATACACGCATGCATAGTAAAAAAAAAAAAACTAATAAATTGAAAGTTAATTTTAGAACTTAACGTTAGAAGATATTATATGGAATCATCATCAAATTAAACTTACAAAGCCGTGGATGAACTAGGAGTGTTTATGGTCAGTTTCCTCCGTTTGATAGAAAAAATCACCAACCAAACTAAAAATGTTAAACAATTCTTTATCTATTTGATGGGCTTAAATTTAAAAAAAAAAATCAAATCATTTTAAATTTGATTTGGTCGGTTTAAACTTGTAATTAAAATGAACCTTGACATATGAATATTTTGAGTC